CAGTCAACCGACATCAGATGAACCAGTCTACTCACAACACCTTCCCCTCTCAAATTGACAAAACAGGACAGAACATCCAAGATAATGTAAAACTCAGCAGCATCCACACCATGGCATGACCCTCGGCTGAATCTGCTGTGGAAGGCCTAGTATTTAGCACTACTAAGCCTACTGCCACCATTACATCAACTACGGCATCAACCGTATTGGCAATGGCCAGAGCTCCAGCTGGCACAGCATGTTTATGCTCCCTCCTCAATAAGACCATTGACATCTCAGAGTCTTTCTAACTTGGCTAATACCCCTTAATGGAGGTCCAACATAACATACACAATGCACGCATGACCTATGGCATAAACATAATGTCAGAGGCTTAGCTAGCATTGTGGATAAAGCTAGCCATAGCTATCATTGTGGCTCCATCGCAATGTAGTTAGCACTTAGCTAGTGTAGCATTGTGGCTAACGTTACATGCAAAATTCAGATGACTTAGCTAGTATTGCAGCTGAAACCATCTATAACAGCGAGTGCATTTTGAATGCCTTTGATATTGTAAGTAAAAAATGTGCACCAATATTGAATTTTAAAAGCCTGTTACATTAAATAAAGTGCCCTTTAATATAAACCACATGGAAAATGTAATACATCTGATTTATAATATGAATAAAGACTTGCAAAAAAATCTGCATTGTCCACCGTCATGTTTTTCTGACTTCTAGGAAGATTTCAACCCACTTAACCCAAACATTTTTAGTTTTGTGGTAGAAAATTGAATGCTAGAAATGTTTTCACAATTTCATTTTTTGTGATGCTTGCATTCAATTGCCCCTCCCTGTAGCACACATCAAGCTTCCCTCTGTCACAAAGGGATTTACAGCTGATTTAAGACTAAATATGTAACCCAGTTACGGTCAACAATGTTACTTTAATTGGCACTTAATTGGCACTTAGTTACTCTAGTAATTTTAATCTATTTTTTCTTTAGAATGTTTTTTATGAAGTTGAACACCTTGGGCTATGACAGAATGTTAGAATTAGAAATACAAATGTAATAAAAACGTTATTTCTTTTTTTTAACCAAATTACACTACCCAAAAGGCACTCTATTGGTGGAATGACCCGGTAGCAGGTGTCTTAGGTGTCCCCTAACTGCATCATTAAGGCTAACTGAGGAAATATACCAGAAAGTGGAATTATTTACGAGAGGATGGGCTAGAGCAGGGTATTCCAAACCTGGTCCTGGTGTCCCCCCCTGGGTTCACGTTTTGGTTTTTATCCTAGCACTACACAGCTGATTCAAATAATCAAAGCTTGATGATGAGTTGGTTATTTGAATCAGCTGAGTAGTGTTATGGAAACAACCAAAACGTGCACCCAGGGGGAGTCCAGGACCGAGTTTGGAAAACCTTGGGCTAGAGTAGTACTTTAATAAGATGACAGTAGCTAGCTAGGCTTATGTTCCCAAATGACTATTGGTTGGTTGCTGTTTTAGAGGGAATATTTGATCAGCAAATGGATATATAAAAAGAGAAAATATAGACATTCTAACATTCTTAATGCCCGCAGCTTGGCTCTTTGGAGATGGAGGGTAGGGGTTTGTTTAAAGGTCAAAGGTTAGAGGTGTCAGTGTAAGTGCTAAAGGTCAAAGGTAAAGTAGATTTATGTGTTACCTGGTTCCAAAGCCACCCCTGGCCCCTGTGGTGGGTGAGTCCAGGGAGTCCCCCGGTTTGGGCCGGTGCATCTGTGATAAGATGGAGCTCAGCTCGTTGATAACCGTGGCCTTGGGGTCGGGCGTGGGTGGGCTCCTTAGCTCCGGGGGTTCGCCCCACAGCTTGGACGACCGATGGGTGGGGGTCCAGGGGAGGTCCGGGGGGGACATGGACCCGGGTGGAGGGGGAGGGGGCGCCCCGAAGGAGTCCAGGGATTCCTCCATGAGGACGTCGTGGTAAAGTGCAGTGTTCTTGTTGATGACAGGCTTGTTTTTTGGCTTGGGGGGAACTGGTGGTCGGTCGTCAAGGTAAGCCTGGCCGTCAGTATAGACCATAGAAGTGTTCTCCAGGGCGTTGTTGTACCCGCCCTCCGACGACAGTATAGAGATGCTGGAAATTGTGGAAACGGTGCTGGTAGTCTCCATATGGGGGTCTCCACTGCTGCGACTGTCTACCTCCTCGATGCCTGAGTCAGTGACACCTTGCTCAAAGCCACCATCGGGGGGCGGAGGGGGGTAGGAGGGTGGGGGCACGCAGTTGGATATCCCGCTCCCCCGTCTGAACTGGCCGACAGGGGGCGGGGCGTGGGTGTAGTAGGAAGGTGGATGTGGCCCCCTGGCCCCCATCCCGTTGCGTCTCTCTTGGTCCCGTTGCTTGAGCAACTCAGCGATGGTCGTTGCCTGGTCCTCAGGGATGTCAATGCTGTTGGCGAACTCCAGCGGCGGCGGCAGGGGCTCGGAGAAGTCAAACTCCTCCACCTCTTCGATGTCCACCGAGGCCAGTGGGGGAGGGGGCATGCGGAAGGGCAGCTTGACTGGCTCGTCCACCGATCCCCCAGCCGTGATGCTCTTCCCCCGCGGCACGGGGGGCAGGGGTTTGGTACTGTGGCTGTTGGTGGAGGGGTTTGGCTTGTTGGGGTCTCTCAGTTCGCTGGGGATGCTGTTGTCCTGGGCTGGTGTGTTCTCCTGCCCCCTGTCGTCCCCCTCTGGGCTGTTTTTGGTGTGCACCATCAGCAGCCCGGCCGCTTTCTGCGGTTGTGACGTGTCCACAACGTCGATCTGTATGCTCTTCCCATCCTCCGCCGCCTGCTGCCTCTCCTCCCTCGCTCCGTCCAACTCGTACTTCTGCTCCGTCATCTGCCTCCTCAGGCCCCCCCCTCTGCCTCGCCCCAGGGTTGTCGTGGAGGTGGCGAAGCCCGCCTCAATGCTGGAGCGGAGCTTGGTATTGATGAAGAGGGGCTGATTGAGGCCAGGTTTGTGGGGGTTGGGGGGGAGGGACTGGGAGGCATCGCTCTTGGGATGCGGTTGAGGTTGAGAAGGGGGTGGGGCTTGCGTCGCCATGGTCGTTTGCGTCTGCTCCTTCATGGCTCTGTCCCGGGCCGCCAGCGCCAGGGCGAGGGGCGAGTTAGGGTCCAGGGCCTTACCCGTGACGGGGTGCATGTAGCCCCCTCCTCCGTTGGAGCTGTAGGTGGCCGGGAGACTGACGGGGCTGTCCAGGTTGGGGTACTGGCCGGTACGCGCGGTCAGGGGCTCCCTCACCACCTGGCCGGGCTCAGGGGTGTTAAAGTCTGTCACGTTACCCCCACGGTCACCCCCTTCTTGGGACCGCAGCAGGGTGGCGGCCGGCGGGGGCGCCATTATCCTCCGCAGGTGCTCGTCGTTGCTGAACATCCCCTCATCGATGGACTTGGACTGGCGTAGGCGCGGGGCAGGGTCTCCCAAGTCCTCATCCCCCATGTCAGTGGAGAGGAAGCTGGGCGAGTTCCTCCGCGCCTCCAGCCTTTTCTCCCGGTCCCTCACTGCCCCTGCGATGGCAGCCGCAAAGGGGTTGTTGACAATTGGGTCTTCAGGCCTCAGCCCCCTGCCCCCTGCCCCAGGCGTTAATGGTGGGTGTTCGGGTGTGGTGGGCTCGATCTCCATACTGCTGCCCTGGCTGCTCTTTCCACTGCTACTGGTGGACGGCTCCTTGACGATGATGGTGGGGATGGGAATGGACGAGACGGTCCTCTCAGTGGGTGTGGTCGGCATGGAAACGGCGCCTGAGGGCGGGGCGCAGCAAGTCTTCTCTGGGCTGTCCTCCACATTGGGCTGCTTGACCAGCATGCCCTTCCTCCTCGCTGGCTTGGCGGGCACGTACAGCGCCTTGTTGCCAACCTCCGAGTACGGGTTCTCGGGCACGGGTGCCCGTCCTCGGCTTCTACTATCGTACTGTTCTGAGCTCTGGCGGTGATAACCTCGCCTTAGCGTCCCTACATCTAACGTGCGGTTGCCTAGGGTAGTGGAACATTTTCCAGCGGAGTTGAGGGTGAGGCCCGGTCGGGTGGTGCCGTAGCCCCGTGGCGTGGGGGAGATGGAGGGAGAGTTGTAGGAGGAGGGGGGCGACGGGGGGGAGATGGCCGGGGGAGGGGGGATGTCCTCGGACGTGTCTGGCATGGAGAGGCTGCGGGTGAACTTGAGCGGGGGAGGGGTGAGGAGCGTCTTCTCCTCTTCTGTTCTACCTGAGAGAGAGAGAAATAATGAGAGATAATGAGAGATGGAGAGAGAGAGAGAAAGAGATATCTGTCAATTTTACATGTGTGATTCTATTCCATTTCACCTTTCTTATCGAGATACATTTTGGGGATAGTTCACTTAACCTTTTTAATTCTGTAATCAGTTTTAGGAAGTTGTCTATGGGTCAGGTGTGAGGATTGCCTTCTATGTTCCAGATATTACAAAGTATGCTCAAGCTACTGCATATACTGAAGTTACTATCTACTGAAGCTAGTGCAGTCATAACACACAGACCTGCCTTTGGGCTACTATTGGCTCTGAGTGGCGTGATGAATTGGATGGACCATAAATATAATTAGTTTCTATTAAATACTATTGCTTCATCATAGACTGTGGTTTCAGTGTATGGGTAATGGGTTATAATATTGTCGCCTCAGAGCACAATTTGGCAAGTGGATCACTCTAATTTCTCCATTATCACACTTAATGAAGCCAGTTACTCTCTGAAGTGAACTCTCTGGAAACGGTAATCATGGTAAAGTGGGGCCATACATTAGACACACACACACACACCTATGGACTTCTGTCTCCTCATGGTGCCACCCTTGGCAAGTATGCCCAGTAATGCCCCCCCTCTAGGACTGCCTGGCACGGTGGGTGGTACCACTGCCACACCACCCTGGCGGTCGTTCATGGACTGTAAACCAGAGTTGGGTAGGGTTAGAGTTTGACATATCCACAAAACAATAAGTATTGACCAATTCCGTACTGTACATTGCTTTAGATAGAAACGTCTGCTAAATGGCATATATTATACTGTGTGGAGTAACTCACATTCATGTCAGTAGGTGTGACCAAACAGCGGCTGGAGGGGCGTGGCTTAATGGTGGCCACCTTCATGTCCACGGCCTTCTGGGAAGGTGACACCTCGTCCACTTTATCTGCAAGACAAACCCCACCCTCTATGAGTGACAGGGTAAATAGGGCGGGACTTCCTTAAGCCTAAAAATGTAATGGGTAAAATGCGTTCGCAAGCCAGTCATTTTCATGACACCTTCCTCAATTTCTAAACTAAACTGAGGCTGAAACTGAGAAAAAAGGAACACAATAAAATAAAATTAAAAAACATGTAATTTTGGGAAGAGGCCAGCCTTGGAAGCCGTGCAAGCCTTTAAGCTTATATTATGTAATATTTAGTTGTATTCGTTTTTGTAAAGCCTCCATGCATTTGGGGATGTTACTGTACTTAGAGTGACTTGAAAACATATCCTCTTCTTCTGACCATCTACACACAGAGGGAAGAGAGTGGATTCAGCCTTAACCAGGACATATTAGTAACAACCTCTAACACACACACACACACACACACACACACAGAGAAATGCGCACAAACACACACACACACACACACACACAGAATCATACGAACATACACACATATTCTGACACTATGGGTGACTTCTTCTATTTTCTGAGGCATGATGTGTATAGGTTCTGTTTCCAATGCCACTTCAGTTAATGAAACCACTCTAACTTCATCCATACCCCATGCAATCTGTTATGCCGTCTAGATCCTGCTATATAACATTATTGCCTATATGTTGCCAATCTGTCCATTCATATGGGATTGAAGACTGCAGATTTATTCTAATTCATGTTGCAGGATCAACAAAACAGATGGCATGAACTCATGTTTTTACAGACCAGGTTTGAGATGTGAAAACCTCTGACACTCTTTGATTTTGGGGTGAACTATCCCTTTAATAGTTCTTGAGTTACCTGAATAAACCAAAGTTCAATGTTTCACATATGTGACTATTCATATTTCAAACATAAGCAATGTTTGAAATACAATACCATGTTATCACGTTATTGAGTCTGTGATGCCCATTCAATATGCACAGAGATTAGACTGGAATAAAATCATGCATTCTCATTGGTGCAAACAACTCCATTCAATGACAAATCAACTTACTACTGTAAGTTACAGTACTTGTTGTCAGGGTTGGGGTCAAGTCCATTTAATTTCCAGTCAATTCGGGAAGTGCACTGATATTCCGAATTGGAATTGAGTTTACTTTCTGAATAGTCAGTCGGTATTCACGTAATAATCAGAAATTCCCCTCGACCACGGCCACAAATTGGGGTAAACCAACATTCTTTCCTATTGACCCCCATTGTAAAAGAGGCAGCTTCGATGTTGATTTTTTGTTATACAGAAATAACAAAACATGCTGAAAAGCTGCTGTGCTGTTCACAGTACATGTAGCCAGGTCAAAAATCCCGACCTGCGGTTTCGTAATGCTCCCACGTAGGGAAATAGACAGTGGGAAATGTGGAGACGCGGTGTCCAAGTAGGCTACACATTGCAATGTGTGCAGAAAACATTGAATCACAGGTAAGACATTTAACTTGTTTAGCACAATTTGAATGGAACTGACACCAAACCCTGCTTGTTGTACCAACTTTATCATGCAAATATTACCAGACAGTGACATACTGAGTAGGTATCTTTCTCAGGGGGAAAACACATTTGTAAATTATACAAAAACACTTTGTAAATATAATAACAAAATATTGTTAATACAGTCAATAAAACCAAGACACAAGTCAGTGATTTGTGGGTTAGTGCTCAAGTCATCCATCCAACATACTGGACTTTGTGTGAAACATGCCTACGTAACTTACCACCTGTCTTTTTCCTTAGTGTGGCTTGGGAGGGATAGAGAAAGAGTGCTCTGTATTTGATATGTGTATTAGACTCGGGTCTGATGAAAAGTACACTACATGGCCAAAAGTTTGTGGACACCCCTTCAAATTAGTGGATTCGGCTATTTCAGCCACACCCGTTGCTGACAGGTGTATAAAATCGAGCACATAGCCATGCAATCTCCATAGACAAACGTTGGCAGTAGAATGGCCTGTACTGAAGAGCTCAGTGACTTTCAACGTGGCACCGTCATTGGATGCCACCTTTCCAACAAGTCAGTTCGTCAAACTTCTACCTTGTTAGAGCTTCCCCGGGCAACTGTAAGTGCTGTTATTATGAAGTGGAAAAGTCTAGGAGCAACAACGGCTCAGCCGCGAAGTGGTAGGCCACACAAGCTCAGAGAACGGGACCGCTGAGTGCTGAAGCGCATAGTGCGTAAAAATGTCTGTCCTCGGTTGCAACACTCACTACCGAGTTCCAAACTGCCTTTGGAAGCAACGTCAGCACAAGGACTGTTCGTCGGGAGCTTCATGAAATGGGTTTCCATGGCCGAGCAGCCGCACACAAGCCTAAGATCACCATGCGCAATGCCAAGCGTCGGTTGGAGTGGTGTAAAGCTCGCCGCCATTGGACTCCGGAGCAGTGGAAACGCGTTATCTGGAGTGATGAATTACGCTTCACCATCTGGCAGTCCGACGGACTAATCTGAGTTTGGTGGATGCCAGGAGAACGCTATCTGCCCGAATGCATAGAGCCAACTGTAAAGTTTGGTGGAGGAGGAATAATGGCCTGGGATTGTTTTTCATGGTTCGGGTTAGGCCTTAACGCTACAGCATACAATTACATTCTAGACAATTCTGTGACTTTGTGGCAACAGTTTGGGGAAGGCCCTTTCCTGTTTCAGCATGACAATGCCCCTGTGCACAAAGCGAAGTCCATACAGAAATGGTTTGTCGAGATTGGTGTGGAAGAACTTGACTGGCCTGTACAGAGCCCTGACCTCAACCCCATCGAACACCTTTGGGATTAATTGGAATGCCGACTGCGAGCCAGGCCTAATCGCCCAACATCAGTGCCCAACCTCACTAATGCTCTTGTGGCTGAATGGAAGCAAGTCCCCGCAGCAATGTTCAAACATCTAGAGGAAAGCCTTCCCAGAAGAGTGGAGGCTGTTATAGCAGCAAAGGGGGGACCAACTCCATATTAATGCCCGTGATTATGGAATGAGATGTTCGACGAACAGGTGTCCACATACTTTTGGCCATATAGTGTACATTATCTGCATGACAAGCATGTTATATGTAAATGTCGAGCAGCATTTTGTAAATGTAGTATTAGCATTTTGTAAATGTATATGCATGAAAATCAAAATACCACATTTGTAATGAGCAGCCATACACTGACATGACAGCAATAAACAGCAAAATTAGTAGTCGAATTCATGCATGTGTCAACTGAGATCAGGGACACATGTACAATAGTGACATTGGCCTGACACGTTTCAGTTCAGCAAGAGCTCTCTCTCTCTCTCTCTCTCTCTCTCTCTCTCTCTCTCTCTCTCTCTCTTCACCTCTCCTCTTCTCTCTATCTCTACAGCTCCCCTGTCCCTTCATGTATCTGCTCCTCTCTTTCTCGATCTCTCTCTTCCTTTCCTCCCACTGTGTTCATTCAGTAGTGTTATTGATGTGTAAAGTGTGTCTCCTGTTTCCTACCTTGCACATAGTGTTAATTTCGTCAACAATAACTATGATGAAAAACACTTGTCAACTACCTATTTTCCTGACAAAAACTATGACAATAACGAGACAAGAGGCCCTGGAATAAAACTATGACAAGTTACTTTTCATTTTAGTCAATGAAAATGTGACGAGATGAGAATTCCACGTGAGACTAATGGACATTTATTTTGACATGAAGTTCAGTTTTATACTGTATGTTTTGTCCAATCCTAAGCATGCATGCATACATCATATTTCATGCAATCCTCTCATTGGTAGAATTGACATCTTTCAGTTGCCCGGTCTGATTGAGCTGATCTGCCCAGCTCTCCCACACAGCTCCCAGGCGGTCACTTCAGTCATTAGTCAATCTTTTGAACTGATGCGAAGCAAGGACACTTGTCTTGTAAGTAACCTAAATTAGAAACAATGTTTACTCTCTCTCTTACTTTCATGTAGACTATTTTTGCTTTGATCACATCAGAAGATCTATTTTCCCATGTGTGCTGTTATTCATTCATCTGTGCTGCAGCTCTTGCGCCACGGTCCGCAAATGCGAGTTGCGGTTGCTTTTTTCCTATGGGAAAAACAAATGCTAATTGTTGAATATTAGGAGTACAGTAATACTTCTGGCATTTTTGTAAAGCTCATTCTTCCCTTTTCAAGGAAACCTCTGTTATTTACCCCCTTGACAGTTATGATGGAGACAAAATCAGAGCTGTAAATTGTTAAACCTGTAGCCAAGGCTTTATAGCCTATATGGTTAATTATGAATGGCATTGGTTACAATCTGCCACAATATCAATGTTGCCAGCTAAGGTATACAAGGGGATAGTAGGCCTAGTTGGACAAGACTATATGCATGTGCACATGATGGAAGTTAGAGGTAGCCTCAATATTCATTATTTAAAGGTGCACTATGCCATTTCCTGGTTGCTAAAATTCTAATAGTTTGCCTAATTTCATTTTATGTGACAAAACAAGTAAGTATAGTATAGATAATCATTGTACCATCTACAACACTGTGAAATATATTTTCCATAACCAAAAATATTGTATTTTCAGCTGTTTGAAGCTGATGTACAAAACCGAAAGTAAAAGATGCAAAAACTAAACTTAAGAACGGGAAGCATAGAAATAGCACACACAGAACAGATCTACTGCTTCATAGACTTGCTTTCAAAGCGAATGACAGATCTATATCTCAGTTTTCTATGTGTGAATTTGGTCAGCTAACCCAAAAAGTTACATATTGTAGCTTTAATAGATAAAAATGCACTGACTATTATGTGACTAAAATGGCTGTGACTAAAACTACACTAAAATTGTCCCGAATTTACCTAATACTAACGAAGGATGAAATGACTCAAATGTGACTAAGACTAAAAGGTATTTTAAGACTAAAACTACATCTAAAATAGCGGCCAAAATTAACACTGCAAGTTTCATCCCCATTCTCCCTCTCTCTGTTTCTCTCTCTCCCTATGCCCTGTCTTTCCTCCTGGTCTCCTCTCTCTCTCTTTTCTCTCTCCCTGGTTCCCTCCCATTTTCCCTCTCTGTTCCTCTCTCTTTCTTCCTCCTCCTTCTCCTTTTCTTTCTCTGTCTCTCTTTCCCCTAGCTGAGTTAGCAGGGTGGTGCTATAGCGTAGCGTGCATCCCTAGCTGCCCACCAGTTTCTCCTCCTCTCACCAGTGTTCTAGAGCAACCCGTCTCAGAAGCGCTGACTGTTCCCTCTGTCAGAACACATTACCACCACACTGCACTCCCATTCCACACATGGGCCCTCAAATAAGATCTTAGGCCACCACACATTCACCCATACACACGTGCATACACACACTCACAAACGCAGACACATATTCACACACGCAGATGCACGCTCTCACACACAGACACATACACACACACACACACACAACCGTGTCTGTGTTTCTAACTCGAAGACACTAATGCAACTCTAATGCCATCTTTACAAATAGCCAGCTCCTCGTTTCCATGGTAGTTACGCTAAAAAAATCTGTGGAGGTATTTTCACAAACGACCACTCCTCATGCAATGACGCAGCAAATCACTGGGAGAAATCCGTAATAAATAATAGCAAAAATATGACAATCTAAAATAATACATGGTTAACATAATTAACAGCATGTCTTGGTTTGAACCAATGGGCTTGACACTACAGCTTAGCTTCACAGGTTCAAAAGATGAATAAAACGTCAATGAATCAGCATGTTGAATTAGTTGAATATTATATGTACTTCCCACACCAGTATGCGACATACTGTATGTTCAGCTCCACTCCTTACCTTTACTGATTCCCACTAAATAACAAACGAATAGGAACAGAAGGGAAAGATCGATAAGAGGGCGTGGTTAGAGAGGCTTGTGAGAGCCTATCAGATTGCTCCTTACCTAGTTCTTCCAATTCAGAGGTCATAGACTTGGAGCGCATAGACAGGGCGGTGGTGGGGGCTCTCTTTGGCGGTGGGGGGGCTAAGAGAAAGAGCGAGATGGAGAGACAGAGAGAGAGAGAGAGAGAGATAAAGAGAGAGAGAGGCAGAGACATAACAAAGGAATTTGGCCTTTATTGGCACATTTCAACACCCAAAATCCATTTAGCATTTTTGCATAGCGTTGGTTGTTGGGGCAGCATTGTGCTACTACCGAGGTGGTGCGTACCTTTTTCTACCATAACGTGGTGTAGGGGTGTAGTACCTTTTTTCCGTGCGGTATCCTCAGGGTCCATATTCCTGCTGACCGTTACCACTTTGATGATGAGGCTGTTCCCTGCATGACGGATCATGTTGACCACCTGCCTGTGGCCCACCTTCACCACATTCTCCTGGTTCACCTAACAACACACACAACACACACTCTTACAATACACATATTTATAAACTCAGCAAAAAAAGAAACATCCTCTCACTGTCAACTGCGTTTATTTTCAGCAAACTTAACATGTGTAAATATTTGTATGAACATAACAAGATTCAACAACTGAGACATAAACTGAACAAGTTCCACAGACATGTGACTAACAGAAATGGAATAATGTGTCCCTGAACAAAGGGGAGGTCAAAATCAAAAGTAACAGTTAGTATCTGGTGTGGCCTCCAGCTGCATTAAGTACTTCTGTGCATCTCCTCCTCATGGACTGTACCAGATTTGCCAGTTCTTGCTGTGAGATGTTACCCCACTCTTCCACCAAGGCACCTGCAAGCTCCTGGACATTTCTGAGGGGAATGGCCCTAGCCCTCACCCTCCGGTCCAACCGGTCCGAGACGTGCTCAATGGGATTGAGATCCGTGCTCTTCGCTGCCCATGGCAGAACACTGACATTCCTGTCTTGCAGGAAATCATGCACAGAATGAGCAGTATGGCTGGTGGCATTGTCATGCTGGAGGGTCATGTCAGGATGAGCCTGCAGGAAGGTTACCACATGAGGGAGGAGGATGTCTTCCCTGTAACGCAATGACAACAAGCTCAGTCCGATGATGCAGTGACACACTGCCCCAGACCATGACGGACCCTCCACCTCCAAATCCATCCCGCTCCAGAGTACAGGCCTCGGTGTAACGCTCATTCCTTCGACGATAAACGCGAATCCGACCATCACCCCTGGTGAGACAAAACCGCGACTCGTCAGTGAAGAGCACTTTTTGCCATTCCTGTCTGGTCCAGCGACGGTGGGTTTGTGCCCATAGGCGACGTTGTTGCCGGTGATGTCTGGTGAGGACCTGCCTTACAACAGGCCTACAAGCCCTCAGTCCAGCCTCTCACAGCCTATTGCGGACAGTCTGAGCACTGATGGAGGGATTGTGCGTTCCTGGTGTAACTCAGGCAGTTGTTGTTACCATCCTGTACCTGTTCCGCAGGTGTGATGTTCGGATGTACCGATCATGTGCAGGTGTTGTTACACGTGGTCTGCCATTGCGAGGACGATCAGCTGTCCATCCTGTCTCCCTGTAGCGCTGTCTTAGGTGTCTCACAGTACGGATATTACAATCTATTGCCCTGGCCACATCTGCAGTCCTCATGCCTCCTTGCAGCATGCCTAAGGCACGTTCACGCAGATGAGCAGGGACCCTGGGCATCTTTCTTTTGGTGTTTTTCAGAGTCAGTAGAAAGGCCTCTTTAGTGTCCTACGTTTTCATAACTGTGACCTTAATTGCCTACCGTCTGTAAACTGTTAGTGTCTTAATGACCGTTCCACAGGTGCATGTTAATTAATTGTTTATGGTTCATTGAACAAGTATGGGAAACAGTGTTTAAACCCTTTACAATGAAGATCTGTGAAGTTATTTGGATTTGTACTAATTATCTTTGAAAGACTGAGTTTATATCTGTGCTCTAACACACACACACACAACAGTATAACACAATAAAGTTATGACGGTGTGAATTTGGTCTAGTAACCATGGAAACCTCATCCATTCAGAGATTCCAGATCTGTGTGTGAGTAAAACCATGGCAACAGTAACCACAGGCACCACGTTCACTTGGGGGGGGGGGGGGGGAGAGCGAGAGCGAGAGCGAGAGCGAGAGCGAGAGCGAGAGCGAGAGAGACGCCCCTGATGCCTCCTAATCTCATTATAGCTGCTAGCCTAATTTAATCTGGGCCCTGCTCCTCTCAACTCTGCCAAACCAGGTAGACAATCATTATGACTGCAGAGACACTGGGATAAAAATACAGTTACTAGTTAGGCATTTGCCCTAGATATAGAGAGGAGGGGGGAAAGAGAGTAGGGGAGAGAGAGTGATGAGGAAGAAAGAGAGACGAGAGGGAGACTAAAGAAGAAAGACAGGAGGATAGGAATAGAGGGGACAGGGAGAGAGGGGGAGAGAGCGAGGGAAGGGATCCCAGCAAACATGGCCCCATGTAGGCTGCCAACATTGGGCCAATGCGCCTTTGCGCATCGGCTCCACGTTGGCAACCAAGCCATTTGCTCAGTGTGGGCAACCCATATCTGGTGGGCAACCCTCACTTTAACTGAAATAAGCCCAAAAGACATACCCACATTGGCACGATGTGGGCCCAATGCAGGCTTGGTGTGGGCTATCCTGTGCTAGGCTTGGTCTGGGCTAGCACCTGTTGGGCTTGGTGTGGGCTGGCCTGTGTAGGGCTGATATGGGCTAGCCTGTGTTTGGCTATTCTAGGCTAACCCGTGTCGGGCTGGTGTGAGCTTGGTGTGGGCTAACCCGCATTGGGCTTGGTGTGGGCTGGCCCATCTTGGGCTGGTGTGGGCTAGCCTGTGATGGGTTGGTGTACGCTATCCCTTGTTGGGCTGGTGTGGGCTGGCCTGTGTTGGGCTGATCTGGACTAACCTGTGTTGGGCTTGTTGTGGGCTAGTCCGTGTTGGGCTGGTTTGGGCTTGGTGTGGGCTACTGTGCCCACCTTGCCCATTGAATACCCACTTTGATGACACAGTGGTAGCAATACATGGTTATAACATCTACATAAAAGACAGGAATGCCACTGGGGGTGGTGTTGTTGTCTATATTCAATGCCACATTCCTGTAAAGCTTAGAGAGGATCTCATGTCAAATACTGTTGAAGTAATATGGCTACAGGTTCACCTGCCTCACCTAAAGCACATTCTTGTGGGAAGCTGCTATAGACCACCAAGTGCTAACAGTCAGTATCTGAATAATATGTAAGAAATGCTTGATAATGTATGTGATATCAACAGAGAGGTATATTTTCTGGGTGACCTAAATATTGACTGGCTTTCATCAAGCTTCCGACTCAAGAAAAAGCTTCAAACTGTAACCAGTGCCTGCAACCTGGTTCAGGTTATCAGTCAACCTACCAGAGTATTTACAGACAGCCCAGGAATGAAATCATCCACATGTATTGATCACATCTTTACTAATGCTACAGAAATATGCTTTAAAGCAGTATCCAAATCCATGTAGTGATAACAATATAGTAGCCATATCTCGGAAAACCAAAGTTCCGAAGGCTGGGCCTAGAATAGAGCATAAGAAGCCATACAATACGTTTTGTATTGATTCCTGTGTTGATTATGTAAATAATATTTGCTGGTCTGTGGTGTGTAATGAGGAGCAACCAGATGCTGCACCTGACCCATTTATAAAATTGCTTATTCCAGTTAGTAATAAGCATGCACCCATAATGAAAATGAATGGATTGATAAGGATTAGAAACATTTTATGATTGTGAGGGAATGGCAAATAAGTCTGGTTGCACAACCGATTGGCAAAAGTACTGAAAATTTAGAAATCGTGACAAGCAACTATACTATGAAACAAAGATAAATGATATAAAGAATGATAGTAATAAGATTTGGAGCACCTTAAATTAAATGTTGGGAAAAAAGGCAAACTCAGCTTCATCATTCATTGAATCAGATGGCTCATTCATCACAAAACCCACTGATATTGCCAAATACTTTAATGTTTTTTTAATTGGCAAGATTAGCATATTTAGGCATGGCATGCCAGCAACAAATGCCGACCCTACACATCTAAGTATAACTGACCAAATTATGAAAGATAAGCATTGTGTGTGGAAGAGGTGAAAAAAGTATTGTTGTCTATCAACAATGACAAGCCATCTGGGTCTGACAACTTGGATGAAAAATGACTGAGGATAATAGTGGACGATATTGCCACTCCTATTTGCCATATCTTCAACTTGACTTGGACTCTAGATGAGAGACTCGTGAACAATGCAAGTCTGTACTGGGATACGTTTTTGTTGTGCATTCTGTCAGATAACATGGAACAGGTGGCATTGTAACATAGAGATAGTAGTTTAATACAGAGGGCTGAATGCGTTCTAGAACGGCTGCGTCATTTGTACGTTACTGTAGTACTACAGCTAAACAATTGTAATCAGCAACAATGTCATCAGGTGGTGAGGCTTTCGTTATTAAATTTGGTTACAAGAACCTGCAGTATAATGCCAGTGGCAAAAAACGAAATGCTGTTTGCAAAACTTGTGGAATTAACATTAAAGATGCTGGTGCAACTACATCTAACTTCATCTAACATTTGAAAACTCACCGCGAAATGTCAGTTAGGCTAGCTAGCTAACAACGTTACAATGTGGTTAGACTAATAATAGCCTGTTTAGCAGATGCCAGCTTGATATAGCTAGCTTTCTTGTGTGTCATCTTGTAGCTAACTGGAAATGTATTACTGTCTAATATTTCTCGAATGGTTAAGAGGTGGGTTGTCAGATAGCTAGGCCTACTTGTTAGCAGAGATTATTAAATTACATCTCAGCGATATGCATATCACTATGGGATTGAATATACTTTCTGTTGTAGCATGGTCCTAGGAAGTAACTTAGTATAAAACGAGAGTTCAAAGCATGCAACTTCTTGGACATTTCTGCAGAAATGTCCCATAGACCATATATATTTGTTTGTGTCCTTGTACTTCCATCTCAAGTCAGCAACAACTTTCCATCATGTTGTTCATCTGCAGGTTCACTGAATTCTGCAAAGCAAAGGTGGCCAGCACAGGGACAGAAGGACAGAGCAGCATTGACTCATTCTTGACCACCACAGGTATCCATGTGTACAGCCAGGGCCACCCCAGGCAGAAGGCCATAACAGAGGCTATACTGCAAGACCTGATCATTTCCTGCAACCTGCCTATGTCCTTAGTGGACAACCCTCATTTTAGGCATTTCATGTCAGTGGTAGATGACAAATATAGACCAGTAAGTAGGCCCACGTTGACCAGGCGCCTACATGACTTAACACTGAACAAAGAGGCTACAATCAAAAGTGCCCTAGAGAAGACAGAATCAGTGTCTGTCACTGTAGATAT